GTGTGTGTGTGTGTGTGTGTGTGTGTGGGGCACAGTGTGTGTGTGTGTCCCAGGTGTGTGTGTGTGGGGGGGGGAGGGTTGTATGCTCTGTATGTCCCAGGTGTGTGCTGTGTGTGTGTGTGTGTCCCAGCTGTATGCTGTGTGTGTGTGTGTGTGTGTGTGCGCGCATGCAGGGCCTGTCTGGCGTTTTCCGTGTGCACGCTGGGCCGGCGTGAGATCAGCCGCCAGGGCCGGTTTCGGGGGCGGCTCTGGGCTAAGGTGGGGGGGAGACGATAGAAATGTCCCCCGGCCCCCAGTGCCTCCATCAGGCTGCCCATCCCAGCCCCCCCCAGCCAGCCTGCCCACCTCCCCCCCTTCCCCGCGCTCTCTCCCGTGCCAGGATGGCGCCCGAGGTGGCGGCGGTGGAGCTGAAAGGCGGCTACAACGAGCTGTGTGACATCTGGTCCGTGGGCATCACGGCGGTGGAGCTGGCCGAGCTGCAGCCCCCCATGTTCGACGTCCACCCCCTGCGGTGAGTGCCAGGGGGCGGGGCCTGCCACGGGGGAGCCCCGCCCCTTCCCAGGTCCGAACCCGCCCCCCTGGACCAGCTCCCAGGGCGTCACACAGGGTCTGCGATGGCTGCGGGGCGCAGGGTGGGACTGGCAGGTCGGGGGGGCAGAGCGGGGCGGCTGGCACGGGGGAGGATCAGGGCCCCGGCTGGGCAGAGCTGAGGGACCCAGGAGTCCGGGCGGCCAGGAGTTGGGCTTGCAGAGGGTGAAGCCAGGAGGCTGCTGGAGGGAGCGAGCCGGCCCCCACCCCGCAGAGCCAGGCGGCCGCGCGGTTTCCCCCTCACTCTGCACAGCGGCTGGGGGGGGGGTGTGTGTGTCTAGGAAGCCCAGATAAGATCAGAGCGCGACAGTCAGTCGGTGCCCCCACGTGGCGCGGTGCCCACAGGCCGCCCTTTCATGCGGCATCTGGATCCTGCCCCCACCCAGGGCTCTCCCTGTCTGCAGGGCCCTGGCTGGTGGGTGCGGGGGCCGAATCCAAGCCAGAAACCGGCCTGGGGTGGAGCTTCTGGGGTGTGGGTGGGGGGAAGGGCACACTGCGTCCATCTGTCCATCCCTGATACAGCTCCTGTTCCTGATCCGCCCGGGGCCACAGCGCACTGGGATGGGCCCATCTACCTGGCCTCCCGGCTCCAACGCTGGCTGCCTCTCCCGCCCCTCGCAGCCTGCAGCACCCCCCTCGCCCTTCCTGACCCAGCCAAGAGCTGGGGCTCTGGAGCCCGCGAATGGCTGGTCCCAGCCCTGCAGCAGGGAGTCCCGCCGGTTAATGAACCTCCCCCCCCACGCCTGGGTCCGGCGCCCCCTTGTGTCCCCGCAGGGTGCTGTTCCTGATGTCCAAGAGCGGCTACCAGCCGCCGAAGCTAAAAGACAAGGCAAAGTGGTGAGTGGCTCTGATCACAGGACTGACCCGAGTCCCGTTGCCTGCTGCCCTTTGTGACCCCCGGGGGCAGATGCGGCTGAGGCTGGGCCGGCGTGGGGGGGAGCCCCCGGGGAGGGGCAGTCCCCTGCCAAGGGTGGGAGCTGCCGGGCCAATCCCGGTTCCAGGGTCCTGGGATCAGGTTCTGCTGGGGCTTGGTGGGTTGTGGGGGAGGCTGGGAGCCAGGACTCCTGGGTTCTATCCTAGCTCTGGGAGGGGAGTGGGGTCTAGTGGTTAAAGTGAGGGTGGTAAGGGAGCCAGGACTCCTGGGTTCTCTCCCTGGCTCTGCCACGGCTGTGCTGTGTGACCTGGGTCAGGTTGGGACCCCGCTCTGTGCCTCAGTTTCCCCTCGGTAAAGGTGAGGGCTGGCCCCGTCCCTGGGCCTGGCCTCCCTGCCCAAGGCCCTTCGGCTTCCCGGTTGTGTCCCCCCAGGACTCCGGCCTTCCACAACTTCGTGAAGGTGACGCTGACCAAGAACCCCAAGAAGCGGCCGAGTGCTGCCAAGATGTTGAGCGTGAGTAGGGAGCGGGCGGGGGCAGGGGGCTGCCCATCTCGGCGTGTGCCGGCAGCCGGTCCCCCCGGGGGGCGGGGGTGGGGGAAGCCGGCTGCCCCCCAACCTCCCCCCGTCCCTCCCTCCTCAGCACCAGTTTGTGGCCCAGCCCGGCCTGAGCCGGAGCCTGACGCTGGAGCTGCTGGAGAAGCTGCGGAACCCGGACAAGCTGCCGCGCTGCTGCGAGCCGGAGGAGGAAGAGGCCGAGGTGAGACAGGCCGGGGGCTGGCGGGGGGGCCATGCTCACAGACTGAGGGGGGGTGTGGGGCCGTGTTGGTGGGACCCCCCCTATTTAATGCCACCCTGTCTTCCCAGCTGCCACCCCCGGTGCCCCAGCGGATCCACTCCACGCACCGGCACGCGCCGGCTGAGCGCAGCAACTCCGACATCAACCGTACGTTCCCCCGGAGCTCGCCGGGACCCCCCCCCACTGGGAACCCCTTCCCCCACTGGGACCCCCACTCTCCGCTGGGAACCCCGCCGTGACCCCCCCGGGACCCCCGTCCCCCGCTGGGAACCCCGCCGTGACCCCCCCGGGACCCTCGTCCTCCGCTGGGAACCCCTTCCCCCGCTGGGAACCCCGCCGTGACCCCCCC